ACGGAAGTAAGTAGTTGGCACTATTATAGATCTGCCATCATAAACCCAGCAGACTGGAAAACTCCCACGAGCGCAGGCAAACTCGTACTCTGGTGTCAAGTGAACCTGATTGCGGCGTCTCTGACGAATTTTCTTCACCTTGGTGCCACTTAGCACCTCTCCAATCGCCATAACCACATCTTGGCAATGTACTCTGTCTGTGAAGGCTGCGTTCATACTTTGCAGCAGCGTCCACTATGGCTACCAACGTTTCGAGTGTCCTTCAGCATCAACGATTAGAAAGTATAGGTATTGGTCTAGCGGACGGTAGTGTCGGCGTCCACCAGCGACCACGAGCGTCCACCACCGTATAGGAGCACGGACGATATAGTGTAGTAGTACAATGCCGTTGCGCACGCCACAATTTCACTACCCCATATCTAGCTGCCTGCTTCTTCGTACTCTACCAGCAATCCGCTACCCTTCTACTTCCCCATACTCTCTAATCCTGGTCGCTATTGGACGCTAGTGATCGCTGATGGACGCTGTCGCAAAGAATAAACGCAGCCCAGATGTTGTAGATTAACAACCCCGAAGGGGCGAAGGAAAGTGCTGTTATTAACACTCGCAATCAGCTTCATCTAACTATTGATCTTCCGTTGGCAGAGACAAAGTAAATATATGAGAGTAATGCAAAAATATTAAGTATTGCAGATTCCGGTGGCAATCAATCTCTTCCAAAATACGGCACGCGTTTTACTTCCATTTAGATTAGTAGTAGCGTACCGTACCGATCCAGTTACATGCGGGAGCTAGTCGATGTGCAAAACAGTGTTTTTATCCTCTCAGACAAAAGCAGTAGCAATTTGCTGACCGTAGGGTAGAAAGCTCGGTTGGCCTTGGCGGGAGATGATCCGGATTTTGACCCCCAAACCGAGCGCGTGCTTCGCGAACTACTTGTCATCACAGCACCTCCGCACCTTGCCTACCATGGTAGCATGGTTGCCTTGATTTCCTTAGCCTTATTTTCAGATAGTCTCACCGTTGAGAAGGATAAAGAAGCTGCAGTTCTCAGCGCCAATGAAGTGTGGGGTGCACTAAGAGGACTTGAGACTTTCAGCCAGCTGATATTTCAACCGAAAAAGAACCAGGTGACTTGCTCTTACTTCAGTTTTTCAGGAAAACAACAGATTCCTTCAATCAACATAAGTGACCGGCTTTGAAGGTAGCAAAAATGTATAATGCCGTAACTGTAACTCAAAGACTACGCGGAGATCGGTTTACTGCTAAGTCATGCTTTACAAGTCAGAGCGTAACACATAAAGTCTGACCCGAAAGATTACGCTCTTACTGTGAGCTCGGTCCGCTTGTGGAAGCGCACTGCTGATTCACTCTGAGCTTCGTTGAACTTATTTAAACAGTGTAGAAAACATTGGAATCTCTTGGGCGAAATCACTACAAAACATAACCATTACACTCGTTTTCAGTATCGTATCCGTACGGCATCCATCCGAGACAAACCGCGGTTTCCCCATAGAGGAACTCTCATCGACACTGGACGCCATTTCCTGTCGCTTTCAATAATTTTACAACATCTGGTCTGTTCCATTTTGTACATTTCCAGTAAGATGACCATAATTGAGATAACTGAGAAAAATAACGTACCGCGCAGCGTGTGACGCATGTCCGGGAGGGAATAACCAGAGATGAACGACTTTCTCATACAATCCACCAACAGTTACTGAAGAGATGTAGCAGTATTTTCAGGATGTGATGAGTCAGAACAAAATGAATGTTCTCCATTGGCACATCGTCGATAGCGAATCGTTCCCCTACACTTCAGTGAAATTCCCTAATATGTCGTTAAAGGTGAGTTCTGGTTCGTGAGTTTCTTGAAGCACCACTGGCATACCCGAAGAGGAGAGTCACCGAAGTAAACATATGCAGTAAGTAGCTCGAGGACAATTGCGCGCCGGTTCTGTGGATGGAATCAAGCCTATTTTGGTTCTCTCTTGACTGCCCTTTTCATTCTTTTGTATGCTGTATCACTTCAGCCGCCGCGGTCTCATTGGCCAGCTTACGCTGCTTTCACCTCCAGGCCTACTCCTGCAACGTCATGGGCTAACTTTACGATCACATCGCCACACCGTCGAATCTCTTGTGCTTCCTCCTTAACCATCCACACCCTTCCCCCCACACACACACGCACGTGCACACAC